CTGGTCGCATACACTCCCCCCCCCACACCCACCCCCACCCACACCCACCCACACACACACAATTTGACACATTTAACACATTTTTTTTAAAAAAATATATTATTAAATTATACAGCCACCATATCTTCTAACTCGTAGGCCCATGTGTCATTGAGTCAACTGGCGGGGTTTCGATTCTTATGAACCTACAGTTACTGTAACAGTTGTTCTGGTTTTTTCACCTAGGTGGTTTTTTTTTCTAATACTCTATGACATAGGCCTCAAAAAGTGAAGCAAACTTTATGACCGTCTCTCGAAGTTCAAGTCCACCATTTACTGTCCCTCCACCTCTCCTCTGCAGTAAATAAATATCAATGCAAGCACCCACAGGGCTTAAAATATTATTTTCTTAAATTACAGATTTCCACTAAAAAACAAGAAGCTTCTGAACAGATGGCTGTTAAACAATAAACGAGACAATTTCGTAACAGCAGATAGGATTATTAGGTACAAATTACAATTGATGATATTTTTAATTTTCATTTTATTGCTGTTTTTTTCATACTCTATGGTCGGGCAGTCTTCAATGTACTTGTAAGTTAGGGAGCCGCGGTTTCTCAGTGACAGAATAAAGGGATCCGGTGTTCGATCCCGAGAAAGTACCTCGAGATTTTCCAACGGAGCTTCCCCTTGTCAGTGGTGCAGACGGAGTGTCTGACAAGGTACGGTCTCCAGTCGTTCGGATGTGACGAAAAATCGGCGTGCACGTAAAAGAACCTTTAACAGGTGGAAATCGATATAAAGAGTAGGCCGTACCGCCGCTGTTCGGGCAAAATTTCCCTCAGAGCGCACTACATGAAGTATGCCCGTTTTCATTATCCCGGTTGGTGCAGAACAATAGGACGTTAAACCCCATTTCATTTCATAAATATTTTTTTCATTCTGGAAACATATTTCCCTTGTTGTTGTTGTTGTTCTAAAACTATTCATTTCTCTACAGGCCATTAATTTCTCTTCACTTTTTCAGTTCCATAAATTTCTAAAAATAATTAACAAATAAATAAATACCGGTAAATAGAAATACAACATTTTACGCAGGCTATCAATTTTTCTTCACTTTTCATTCCCTAATTTCCCAAAATAAAATAATTAACAAATAAATAAAAATACCGGTAGGCTACATATAATTCTGCGGGCTATTGATTTCTGTTCACTTTTATTGTTAAAAACCCCCATTCATTTCTCTACTCTATTTATTAATTAGTTCCATAAATTTCTAAAACAATTTAACAAATTTAATGTATAGGAATACTTATTGTGTACATTGCACTAAATATTTTAATAAAAATTAAAAGAGAAAGCGAAGGTAAGTAGGTAGACGTAGAGAAAATGCGGTGGAGTTCGTGGACATGTCAAATTAAAATGTTCTATAACCTTTACTGTGGAAAGTGGAGCCCGGAGATAAGTCGGTCCATGGATCTTTATTATTATTTTATTATAAAAATTTGGGTGAGAAAATTTAAAAATTTAATATTTGTGCACGTTTTAAAACAGTTTGACACAGATTGATTGATGCGATAGCATAGTGAATATCCGGGTATTTACGTTCATACTCCCCGGAACTAACATGGCGGCCGTCGCTCCATCCCGGCACAAACCTTTAACGTTGTAGTCATGGGGGTCACGTGATCCGCCGAGGTTTGCCGAATGTTTTTGTTCTATCCACTGATCTGTATGGACACAGATCACCAAATATTCCTACGAAACAAGGGCCAAAGCTATTTTTAGTCTTCCTCTCCCTTTTCCTTTTTCCCCCTTTGCATGGCGATTTTGGTTGACCTTTTGGTGTAGAATCGAAGAAAAGGGTTTGAAAATACATTTTCTGCCAGGTTTTGGTGAATATTCATAATTTTGATGCGGAAGGATACAAGAGTTGAGAGGTTGGTTAGGTTGAAATGTAGGGCCTGAAATTGCATGTTTAATTGTCTCTACTTCCAGCTTGTGTATCTCAAGTTTTTCATGAAGAACCTCATACGTGCTTTTGGGCAAGTGGTTGCCACATGTTGCTCCATCTGTGGTAGAAAGCGTTCTACCCAACGAAAATTTGGGAAAAAGTTAGAGCCGGTCTAAGATACGAGAATTAACATTGGAGTCAATGGGGAAATCTTTAGTGATCTGTAGCCTGTCTGTGTGTGATGAGGCTGTCACTGATATGCCTTAGTTTTGAAAATATAAGGATTAAATTCTCAGAAAATATGAATAAAATAGTTTGGCTACAGAAAAACTAAAAAAAGTTAATTAAAAAAAAAAAAAAATCAAAGTTTTGAAGAAAAACTGTGATTTTACTGCAAATTTCTCAATTTTCAATTTTTATTGAATTTTTAACAGTAATGCCCAATGTTGGCTTACTCAGTCTCAGAAAGCACAGATAAAGTGAACAGTATTGAAATTTCACCAAATTTTGTCTAAAAATCAGGAATATTCACAAAAAATCTTGAGATTCCCCCCATTTCGATGTAGAAATTAATATTTTCATGACTACTAAAATGAGTCAAAATGTCTAAAAATGCCCTTATTTTCTTTGCTAATATAACTTAGATGGGATCTACATGGTTGTCAGGTTTAGAAATAGCTCCAGCTTTCCTACAGAAAATTGAAAATTGGTAACACTGAGTTAATGTACAGCAGATGGGTTTGTACAAAATGTTCAAAACAGGGGTTGGCTCAATTTTGCCACTATTTTACCCAGAATAAGCATTTTTTTCCTCTTTGAAACATTAAATTCTTGCATTTCCTTCATGTAGGAAGCAATATCCCAGCCTTTCTAGACATTTTTTACTCCATCATTCTGTTAAGAGAGGCTATAAATGACCCACCCCACCCTATTCTATTAATGTGTTTTGAAAGATTTAAATGCACCTGTGTTGACATTTAAATGATCGTAATTGGAATTTGTGGTTGAATTACAGCTAAGAATGTTATTTTTCACCCAAAAATATACTTTTTCTGCATTTCAAGGATTTCTAACGTCGAACCCTGAGGCATTTCAGGCCAATGAGACCACACCCAGATATAAAACTGGTGTAGATGTGAAATGTCAGTTTAATGTTCAATATTTTCTTATCAAAATCCAGCATTTGTGGTGTTTGTTGCATTTATGTTGCCTATAGAACAATAAAATGTTAATTTTACTCCTTTTCAGGCCTCTTTTTATGTTGTTAACTCTGTCATGACTACTTTTTTGACTTCATTTTTTCAGGAAATTAATGTCAAGTTCCAGACATCTTGCTTCAGCACAAGGATTGCAATACAAATTTGTAACATGCCTCTGAGGTTTGAGATGTTGGAAACATTGATATATTCCCAAATTTGTGAAAATTGTGTATTCTGTGACCCTTCTGTTAGAGAGGGGTGATCATAGACCAAATATGGCATTTTTTTCATTCATCAAGGCCTATTTTTAACCATAATTCATATTTATTGCACCTATTTTCGTTTATATGTGCATATGTTAGCCAGGGATAGTAAAACATAGCTGTTAGACAGATTCCTTTGGTAATGTTAGTTCTGCAACCATAGATTAGATTGATTCAATCAGTGGCATGTTCGGGGGGTAGGCATACATGTTTCAGTATAGATCTCTAATATTACAATCATTGCAACTGGTTTGCATTTTTTCTGTTTGCATATTGTCCACAGATTCTAAAAATATATTTCTTGGGCGTCTGGATAGTTAAAAAAGTGGAAAATTATTGGTATTTTGAGAGATGCTACATGTAAATTTTGTACATTTTTCATCACATGGCAGTAAAAAATTATATTTTTGAAAAAAATTCCAAATTATGAGTGTTTTCTATGTAGTTTCTTTGTAACTTGTCTAATTTTTTCACAGAACTCAGATACTGCCTTTAATAAGAAAGATTTTTAAATTTTAGCACAAAAGGCCTATGGACCTGAGATGCACCAGTGTATATAAAGCAGCATCTGTACTTAAAGGGCCATCATTTTTACAGTTATTCTTTGATTTTGATTTTCTTTCACCGGCATGTTGCCAGAACACATGGGAAGGAAATAAAAAAGGCCTTTTGGTGATACCTGAAGTTTCACCCCTATATAGGACACAGATCACCAAATATTCCTACGCCGTCACCCACGAAACAAGGGCCAAAGCTATTTTTAGTCTTCCTCTCCCTTTTCCTTTTCCCCCCTTTTGCATGGCGATTTTTGTTGACTTTTTGGTGTAGAATCGAAGAAAAGGGTTTGAAAATACATTTTCTGCCAGGTTTTGGTGAATATTCATAATTTTGATGCGGAAGGATACAAGAGTTGAGAGGTTGGTTAGGTTGAAATGTAGGGCCTGAAATTGCATGTTTACTTGTCTCTACTTCCAGCTTGTGTATCTCAAGTTTTTCATGAAGAACCCCATACGTGCTTTTGGGCAAATGGTTGCCACATGTTGCTCCATCTGTGGTAGAAAGCGTTCTACCCAACGAAAATTTGGGAAAAAGTTAGAGCCACGAATGTAGTGCGAGTTATAAATAGACAATTTTTCCCTTAATTTTTTTCTCCCCTCTTCCTGCATTTTTGGGTTGACTTTTTGGTCTAGACTTGGAGAAAAGGGATCAAATTTGCAATTTCATAGCAGTTTTGGGTAATACTGATGATATTACAGCGGAGGGATAGGGGGTGTAAAGTGTCTTTCTGCAGAGCAATCATTGTGTCGGAAGTGAGATTTTCACCGATGTCAACTTCAAATCCGTGTAGCAAAAAATCTAAATGGTCAACCCCCTACAAAATTACGATGAGGAGATTGCCAAATGTTGTCCCCATTGTGCCTATAAAGATTGGAACCAACGGAATGTTGTCAAAAAAGCTACAGCCTGTGGTGTGACAGTAATTTAACATTGAAGTCAATGGGCAAATAATTGCTAGTCTGTGCCCATATAGATCAGTGGTTCTATCACGCAGCTCGCGCATGCGCTTTGTTTTTTTTCTTCGACCTGTCAATCCAATCTGTTTCACAGAGAATTACGAGTCTCGTATAATATCTCTGTCATAGATGACTGCCTTAACACGTGCTGTCACAGCACGCGGTGTGAATCATTGGCTGAATGGCGCGTGCATTGTTTACATAAGACATAACTGCTTCGGAGAGAATGCTGCATTTTAGTCATTTTAATACCCATTTACACTAAATCGGAAATAATTTTTAACTACAAATACGTCAAACGCCTTTATTTATTTTTCCAATATATACAAAAAATGTTTTAGAATTTAATTTGTCGCAGGAAAAAAGTTAATATTTCTAGCTCATTAAGCCGCATCAATGTCATCCTTATCAGTGATTGTCGCGGCCAAGCAAATATTCACTGCGGATCAGTGGGCTGTCAATCATGCTGCCTCGCTGTGTTTGATCTATCATTTATCCACTCCAATGGGGATTACCCGAGATTTTGAATTTGTGTTCCAGCTACTTGAATTAAAATGAATAGATCTACATGATTCATGAAATTACCACAAGGAGTAAGTAACGAGAAGGTTAGAGTACAATCACGAAGGGAATATAATTAGCTCTAGTTCAGTTCTGAACGTTACGTAGGTCTCATACTCATTTACCACTCACCCTCACCCTGTACGTTCAGGGACTCTTCCTTGTCGAAACTAAAATCGGCCCCAGTCAATTTTACTGGGCAACTTTTTACTGCTAAACGGTCGCGTGTCAGTCCCTATGAGCGCCCGAACAATGTAACTAAACATCTTATTGAGAAAATAAGACCTTGCTTACCTCGCTAGAAAAAGTATTATTATAACTGGATAGCTCATGACGCAATCAACAAATGACGTAGCGTGAAGCACAGGAATCTGACCTTCTATCCATATATACATAGGCGTAGGAGCCGGGGGGGGGGGGGGTATGGCCGTATGCCCCCCAAAAAAATTTATTTTCGGGCAATGAAAAATTTGACGACCTTTTTTTTCTATTAACGTGTAGAGAAAAAAATATAACTAACTTATTTCTATGAGATCCACACTGCCCGAAAAGTATTTTCTCGTCTTTTTCTTGTCCACTGCATGCCCGAAAATATGCCCGAAGCTTTCTTATGATATGTATGCCCGAAAAAAAGGTATTGATTTCGGGCAATTTTCTCTTATGCCCCCCTGAATTACTTTGAGCTCCTACGCCTATGCATATATATATATATATATATATATGCATACACCATTTCGTACCAGACAATATATAATAAAAAAACAACAGGAATGCAATGCCTGTTGAAAATTCGATCTTACCTGCTCTCGCTTCGGCTCGTTTTTTTTCAACAATTCGTACAACAGGAATGCAATGCCTGTTGAAAACTCGATCTTACCTGCTCTTGCTTCGGCTCGTTGTTTTTCAACAATTCGTAATGTCACTCAGATATATTTATTCTTCAATCTAGTCATTGTGATTTGCATAAATACTCCCACAAAACAATATCATAGCCACTCGTTTCCAATATTTACATCGTTTTCGTCCATTTTCATTTTGTCACTGCCGCCATGCGCTGACGTCACACAGAACGATCCGCAGTGAATTTTAAAAATCATAACATACAAAAATTAGCCACAAATAAAATTCAAAATAGATTGAAATGCGTGTTTTGCATTTATCTGATTTAAAAAAACGTATTATTATATCACCGTTACACCCTAAGGTCAGCAGGGTTCAAATTTCGTGAAAATCAGACCAAAACTGACAGACAAAATGGACGCCCTTCGTTCTCAAATAGCCTAAAAATATGGTATATCAAGGTTGTGGACCCTATAGGGTCATACCATGTCAACTGGACCAAATTTTGGAAAGTTGGGAACATGACCCCTTCCAAAAAAATTATAAAAAATATATGTTATAGTATATAGTCTTAACCTAAGAAATTTTACCAATCTAGATAAAAAACTCACGGAGATATGGCCATTTGAAATTAGGGTACTGAAATGGAATATAAATCGAAAAGTTTTTCTCGGATTTTCAATTGCTTTAAACTCACATTTGTAATTGGAGTACAACACAACTTTGTAATCTTAGACAACTTTTGGTGTAGATTACGAATTTAGCATCACACTTAATGTGCGATTCAAACTTTTTGGGCCACCAAGTGGCAAAATGCAGAACAAATGAACTATTCACTTTTTTTTCACGATTTCCACAGCCTCTGGCAAAGTCACTGTTGTATACATAACCCCCAAAATTGGCATAGTTAATGTCAGTTGGTATTTTATCAAATTACAAAAGATCCTGAGTGGATTGAATGTATACTTTTCAAAATATTCAGCATCAAAATTCATTCACACGGAAAATTTACCAAATTTACCCATTTTCTCCTTCAATTTTGGCCATGTGGGACAGAGGTTAAAATTTTGAAACTGGTTGAAAATGAAACTTCATTTACCCTATTATAACACACATTAAAGTCCATCTTGTGTATTTGGGGTCTTATATTTTTAATTCACACTTGAAATCTGTGCGGTGATGGAGTTTTAATAGCTATTATCAAAATTGTTGACGTTTCACATTGATTTTAAAATAACTTCTAAATGACCTATACCCCTCAAACGTGTCTATTAATAGTACCTTATTGCCTTGGTCATGAATATGTAATAATTTTGCATCTACTTTATACCATTCTAAATTTATTTTGCCTCCCAAATTAGAAAAAAATTGTTCCGCTTCCCAAATTGTAATATAGGGCTTTGACAATCAGATTAAAATTACTTCTGAAAGACTTAGGCTCCTCATATACTATTCAAAAAAAGTAGGGGATATTTGATTTTTAAGTGTTATTAAAGTCACCTAATGAAACTGACGAAGAAACAAATGACAAAATGAAATGAAGTTCACATTCATCGATTTATTCCAAATGATCGTTAGACTAAGTAAGGCACAGACTGACCATTATAAGGGTAAAATGATACCCGGGGTCAAACAGCAAAGTTACCACAGCATCACAACCAAGTCAGTAACGGGTAAATCCTCCTCTGTTTGCCAAACAAGCATTGATCCGACGTGGCATACTCCTAATGAGACGTCTAAGGTCATTTTGGTCCAGATTGTCCCATTCCTGTTGCAACGCAGCAGCAAGTTCTTGGACATTGGCAGGACGTTGTTGACGTTGACGTAACCTCTGTCCAAGCATGTCCCAGACATGCTCGATGGGGGAAAGGTCGGGACTCAGTGCTGGCCAAGGTAATGTGGTGATGTTCTGTTGTTGGAGGTAACCTGTAACGATCCTGGCCCTGTGACATCTTGCGTTGTCTTCCTGGAAGATGAAACGGTGGCCATGACGTCGTGCGAACGGCACAACATGGACTGCCAAGATGTTGTCCCGGTAGTACTGGCCTGTAACACGCCCTGCAACAACATGTAGAGCCGTTCTTCCAGCAACAGTGATGCCTCCCCACACCATAACAGAACCACCCCCAAATCGATCATGTCTGATGACGTTAACGTCTTGGAAGTGCTCTTTTCGACGACGCCACACCCTCCTACGTCTGTCCAAAAAATCAACAGTGAACCTTGACTCATCTGAAAACATCACATTGCTCCAGCGTCGATTATCCCAGTGTTGACGATCCCTACACCAACGACGTCTTGCCTGAATGTGATGATCTCTCAAACAAGGGATCACGCGAGGACGTCGGGCGCGAAGGTGACCCCTATGCAGTCGATTCCGAATCGTCTGGCCACTCACTCTCACACCAGTGTCTGTTTGAAGATGAGCGCTGATCTGATTTGCTGTGATGACACGATTTCTCAAGGCCAAGGTACGGATAAATCGATCCTGGGCTTGAGTTGTCGCCCTTGGTCGACCTGAGCATGGTCTGTCCTGTACAGATTGTGTATCACGGTATCTGGACCATAGCCTGCTTATGACAGACTGAGAAACATTCATCGTCCGCGCCACAACCGCCTGTGTTGTGCCGATCTGTAGCATGCCAAGGGCACGTAACCTTTCATTTTGGGTAAGCGGACGCATATCAAAATTTGTTTTCTGGTCACTAAAACAATTAACCTGATGTTTCCACCCTGGAATTCAATGCCACAATGACTGTAACATTCAAAGTCAGAGTCGTGCAAATCTTGGGTTGGACCCCCATGATAATCCCAAGCATCACCTGCATTCCATGCGGTAGCTGTTGGTGCGTTTGGGCGTCACATGTAACTGGAAATGTTTCTTCTGTTAGGTTCTATAGTGACTTTTTTCGTAGTCATTTGCATATTTTAGTATTATGCCCCCAAAATCAAATATCCCCTACTTTTTTTGAATAGTATATTTGTCATTTTAGAGCAACGTATATTGTTCAATAAGAATATAGACGCATTTGGCTACAGGGAGTATCGTTTCAATTTAAAGGACAATATTGGTGCCAGTCATTATCACATATGTGATAGAACTGGTTAAACACATTCCAAATATTATTTTTTTCACAGAGATCATTGCTACGATAGATGAGTAATCAATGTTTCAATAATAGGAAGTGACGAACGCAAAAGGAAAACACGAGTTATCCCTCTATAAAACTGGCTGAAGAGACGGGTGATAACAGATACATGGGGGAATTTCTGCTCACTAAAAACCCGGGTCAGAGCCACACCCATTTTTTCTTTGTGTGTCTGTGTGTTTTTTTGCCCTACAGGTCGCAATTCTTAATGGACTGTCTTGAAAACTATTCATATATATTCCTTATACCCAAAGGATGACTGTTATGATTTTTGGTGTATGCCCGCCCGACCCCCAGGGGCACAGCAACACCAGATTTTAGTGTTATCGTCCACAGGCTGCAATTCTAAACTTTTGGTGCATGCCCGACACCTGTCAAGCTCCAGGATGATCCATTCAGAATTGCGGCTCCTAGGTGATAAACAAACAAAATGGGCGTTGCTATGCCCCTGGGGGTTGGGCATGCACCAAAAATAATAGCGGTCATCCTAAAGGTATAAGTAATAAGTATGACAAGTTTTCAAGATGATCAAAACACACAGACACACAAAGAAAAAATAGGCGTGGCTCTGCCCCTGGGGGTTGGTCACACAAAAAACAATAGTGATCATTCTTAGGGTATAAGATAAGGAATAAGTATGCACAACTTCAAGACAATCCATTAAGAATCTTGGCTTGTAGGCGACAAACTTACACATGCAAGAATTGAGCATGGCTCTCTGCCCAGGTGTCTGGCGTGCACCAAAAACAATAGGGAACATCCTTAGGGTATAAGGAAAAACTAGTATACATAGTTTCAAGATGATGGTTAAGGATAGCGGCCTGTAGTTTTGATGCGTCTAGAGATAGTGAAACTACATAAGGCCGTACTTCAACTTTCTAATTAGACAAAACACGTTTTCACCTGTTTTAAAGCAAAACTAAAATGAACCGATACTCCCTGGATCCCAAAAGAGTCTTTATTCTTATTCTATGTTAAGAGTTGATCTAAAATGACAAATATGAGGGGTCTAAGTCTTTCAGAAATACTTTCAATCTGATCATCAAAACCCATTATTCTAATTCGTGAAGCGTATTAACCATTTTGTTCTCATTTTGGAGACAAAATAAAATTAGAACAATACAATGTACATCCAAAATGATATTTGTAATCTATGTAAAACATCACTTTAAATACTCCTGTTTGGGGAGTATAGGTCATTTAGAAGTTATTTTAAAATCAACGTAAAAAGTCAACAATTTGGATAATAGCCATTAAAACTTCATCACCGCACAGATTTCATGTGCCAATTAAAAATATAAGCCATCAAATACACAAGATGGACTTTAATGTATGTTATAGTAGGGTATTTGAAGTTTTATTATCAATTTTTATACGGCCACATTGAAATGTGGTCGTATATTGTCGTCGCCCCCGTCCGTTGTTCCGGCGTCCACTATTGCTTGTGGACGCTCTAGAGGCTAAAGTTAATATCCGATTGACTTTAAATTTATATACAGTGTTTAAGGCCATGAAACGAAGAAGCCTATTGATTTTCAGCGATTTCCGATAATTACTGCCAGAGTTATGGCCCTTGATCACTTCAAAAAAATCTTGTGGACGCTCTAGAGGCGAAAGTTAATATCCGATTGACTTTAAATTTATACACAGTGCTTAAGGTCATGAGACGAAGCAGCCTATTGATTTTCAGCGATTTACAATAAGTACTGCCAGAGTTATGGCCCTTGATCACTTTGAAAAATCTTTTGGACACTCTAAAGGCTTAAGTTAATATCGGATTGACTTTAAATTTATACACAGTGTTTAGGGTCATGAGATGAAGTCTCTTCATTTTCAGTGATTTTCAATATTTACTGCCAGAGTTATGGCCCTTGATCACTTTGAAAAATCTTGTGGACGCTCTAGAGGCCAAAGTCAATATCCGGTTGACTTTAAATTTATACACAGTGTTTAAGGTCATGAGACAAAAAAGTCTATTCATTTTCAGTGATTTTCGATAATTACTGTCACAGTTATGGCCCTTGATCACTTTGAAAAATCTTGTGACGCTCTAGAGGCTAAAGTTATCATCCGATTGACTTCAGATTGATACACAGAGCTTGAGACGAACAAGTATATTGATTTTCAATGAATTTTTATGACTTGAACAGCTAAATCCATGATATTAAAAACCAAACAAATTCTAATGGGTTTCTGATAATTACTTCATGAGTGTATTATAAATGTTTCATTACCGAAAGAAGTAAAATATGCGACAACACTTGTTGACTGCCCGGACGATTTAGCTGCTGTGGGCGTATGTTTCATTGCCTGGCAATTTTAACCTCTGTTCCACATGGCCAAAATTTAAGGTGGAAATGTGTATATTTTGTACGTTTTCAGTGTGCAATGAATTTCGAGAATGAATATTAGGAAAAGTATATACCGGTATCGCATCAAATTCGAATCTTTTGTAAATTGATATAAGACAAACTGACATTAACTATGCCAATTTTGAAGTTTATGTATACAATAGTGACTTTGCCAGAGGTTGTGGAAATTATGAAAATAAAAATGAATAGTTCATTTGTTCCACATTTTGCAACCTGGTGGCGCAAACAGTATGCATCGGATAATGAGTGTGATGCTAAATTCATAATCTTCACCAAAAGTTGTCTTAGATTACAAAGTTAGAGGGTCCTACTCCTATTAGAAATGTGAGTTTAAAGCATCCGAAAACCTGAAAAAAATTACTGAATTTATGGTCTGTTTTAGTACCCTAATTTGAAATGGCCATATCATAGCGAGTTTCCAACCTAGAGAGGTAAAATTTTGGATTTCTTAGTTTAAGGCCATATATTATAACATATATTTTTTATAATTTTTTGGGAGGAGTTCATGTTCCCACCATTGGTCCAGTTGACATGGAATGACCCTATAGAGGTCATAACTTTTATCTGATTTAAAAAAAAGTATTATTATATCACCGTTACACCCTAAGGATGGCTGAGTTTGAATTTCATGAAAATCGGCCAAAAATTGACAGACAAAATGGCCGCCAATCGTTCTCAAATAGCGTAAAAATATGGTATATCAAGGTTGTGGACCCTATAGAGGTCACAATTTTTATCCGATTTTGTTGAAACTTGAAATGTATGTTTATAACCCAAAGATCTTGGATCCTTTCGATATTCGCGCATATCGGACCGTAACTTCCTGAATAATGACCCCTGATTGTACGAAAAATCAAGTTTTTAGCTTGTGGACCCTATAGAGGTCATAATTTTTATCCGATTTAAAAAAACCATATTATATGACATGATGCCTGTGATGTCTCAGATGCCTGTGTGAAGGGATTCTGCACGTGCTGTCGCACAACATGGCGATCTTGTCGCCTTGTGGTAACCCTTGGTCTACCAGTTCAGAGGCGATCATCCGTGGTGTTGGTGGCCCAAAAGTGTTGCTGACTCCTGTAGATGGTCTGAACATTGACCTGGAAGTGATTGGCAACGGCTTGGCCAGTGTGGCCAGCGTCGGGTCTTCTTCCAATGCCTGGTTCCTCTGAGCTGTTGTGAGTCGTGGCATGCTGCTGACGTTGTAGTGTGAATGATTCTACCAGGTATGGGAGTGCATTTTATTGGGCTGGTCCAATTCTGTGTTTGGGAAGGAGCCTTATTGCTCAGGTAAAGTTGGAGATGTGGTCACAAATATACAATAAAAACATTTGGCAAGTTTTATGCAATGCGTCTATTCAGAGTAACATACTAACCTGACGTTTATTTTGCTGCTTAGTATATTAATCTTAGTAATAACAATAGTCTTTCACCGAAGGTGAAAGCCTAATAATGAGTTAGAGGTTTAGCACCTTTTTAAAAGCCACCAGTGAAAGCCAGCATAGCTGTGTCTCCTGTCTAGTTATTATTAAGGTTTTTTTTGTCTTGTAGGTTTAAAAATGGGGCAAGCTACTTCAAACCAAGTGTGTAATAATTCAGGAGGAGGTGATGAAGATGTTGCTGCAATAGATTCTAGACTTCTAGAATGTAGACAAAACTTTATGAAAGCCGTTCAAAAAGGAGAAAAATACACTCATTTTGTCTTGAATCTGATATCATTACCATGTCCAGTGTCACTGAAGTATGCTTTATTAAATGTTAAACATATTCTAGAACAAAACAATCAGGTAAAAAATTACAAAAGTATGGTTATCATTTGAATCATGAAATTATTGATGCAAGTAGCTAAAGTGAACAACCATGATTTTTAGACAGTTCTATTCTCCTTTTCTTGTACGCCCACATTTTGTTTGTGGACACTCTACAGGTCACAGTTTTTATCTGATATTGACGAAACTTGAAATATTGGTTTATATCCCAAAGACAACTTTTGGTGAAGATTTTCACAGCCTCTGGCAAAGTCACTGTTGTATACATCAACTGCAAAATTGGCATAGTTAATGTCAGTTTGTCTTATATCAATTTACAAAAGATTCTAAGTCGATGGGGTATATACTTTTCCAAATATTCAGTCTAGAAATTCATTGCACAATGAAAACGTACAAAATATACCCATTTTCACCTTAAATTTTGGCCATGTGGGACAGAGGTTAAAATTATGAAAAAGTTTAATAATAAAACTTCAAATACCCTACTATAACATACATTAAAGTCCATCTTGTGTATTTGATGGCTTATATTTTTAATTGGCACTTGAAATCTGTGCAGTGATGAAGTTTTGATGGCTGTTATCCAAATTGTTGACTTTTCACGTTGATTTTAAAATAACTTCTAAATGACCTACATGTATACTCCTCAAACATGTCTATTTAGAGTGATTTTTAACGTAGATTATAAATATGTAATCATTTTGAATGTACATTGTATTGTTCTAATTTTATTTTGCCTCCAAAATGAGAACAAAATGGTTAGTACTCTTCACGAATTGGAATAATGAGTTTTGACGATCAGATTGAAACTATTTCTGAAAGACTTAGACCCCTTATATTTGTCATTTTAGATTAACTCTTAACATAGAATGCCCGACTCCCAGGGGCATAGCAATGCCCATTTTTTTTATGTTTATCGCCTAGGGGCCCCAATTCTGAATGGATCATCCTGGAGCGTGACAGGGGTCGGGCATGCACCAAAAGTTCAGAATTGCAACCTGTGGACGATAACACTGAAATCTGGTGTTGCTATGTCCCTGGGGGTCGGGCATGCACCAAAAATTATAACAGTCATCCTTTGGGTATAAAGAATATATATGAATAGTTTTCAAGACAATCCATTAAGAATTGCGGCATGTAGGCAAAAAACACACAGACACACAAAGAAAATTCGGGCGTGTCTGTGACCCTGGTTGCACAAGCACCAAAAACAATAGGAAACATCAAAAGGGTATAAGGAATAAGTATGCAAAGTTTCAAGACCATATGTTAAGAATTGCGGCCTGTAGTTTTCAAGTGTTCAGTGATAACAGCATTACTTTACTTCAACTTTCTAAGCAGACAAAACAAGTTTTCCCCTGTGTTTGAAAGCCAAATTAAATTGAAACGATACTCCCTGTAGCCAAAATGAGTCTGTATTCATATTCTAAGTTGCTCTAAAATGACAAATATTAATATGAGGGGCCTAAGTCTTTCAGAAGTAATTTTAATCTGATTGTCAAAGCCAAATATTTCAATTTATAAAGCGGAATAACCAATTTTTTCTCATTTGGGAGGCCAAATAAAAATTAGAACAATACAATGCAGGGCCGGCGGAAGCAATTCTTGATTGGGGGGGCTACCATCCTTATTCTTTAGGCGTGGGTCCATGGGCTGCCTAGGCCCCGGAAGCTCTTGGGGAACAAGAACAGCAGAGACGCTTTCTGAGCGATTTCTGGCTAATAAAATTACTCAGCAATGAAGTGAAATTTTATTTCATTTCTAACTCCCTTACCATAAAAACACAATCTATGGTTGTTTAATCCTGTGATGCTGAACTTGACAAATATATGCATAATGCATGATGAAACTTACAATGTACGTTTATTACCGAAAGATCTCGGTTCCTTTCGATATTGGCGTATATAGGACTGTCACTTCCTGGAATATGGCGCCTGATTTTACGAAACATGGACCAAGTAGAAGTAACAGTTTTTATTTGATTGTAAAAAACGTTCAATTATATAGCGGGTCAAATTTTTTTATCCAAAATTGACGAGACTTGAAATATAGGTTTATCTCCCAAAGATCTCTGTTTCTTTCGAAATTGGCATGTATTGGACCGTCACGTCATGGATTATGACCTCTGATTGTACGATAAATGACATTTTTAGCTTATAGACACTCTAGAGGTCACAATTTTCATCCAATTTTGATGAAACTTGAAATGTATGTTTGCTCCTTTCCATATTCGCGCATATCTGATTGTAACTTTCTGGATTTTAGCCCCTGGTTGTACGAAAAATCGCGTTTTTAGCTTGTGGTCCCTCTAGAGGTTACAATTGTTATCCAATTTAAAAGGCATTCGAATATATCGCCGTTACACCATAATTACGGTTGAGTTCACATTTCCTGAAAATGAGACCGAGCTGCCCGACAAAATGGCAGCTCCCCCTAAAAGCATTTAATATTCAGTTAAGATCTAAATATTAAGGCCTCCTGCAGATTTCGCCAATGTCACAAGATGTAAACAGGGCTAGCCCAAACCCTAACCAAAGATCTAGCCCTTACCCTTACTCTCTACAACAATTACTTGCCCTAACTCTGTTTACATCTCGTAGCCTTGACGAAATATGCCAGTAGGTTTAACATTAGGATCTGATCTTAATACCCAGGTCGTAGACCATCCAGTGGTTCGAATTTTTTTTATCCAATTTTGATGAAATTTAAAATATATATTTATATCCCAAAGATCTGGGTTTCTTCGATATTGGCTCGTGTTGGACTGTAACTTTCTGGATTCTGATCCCCTGATTGGAGGAAATATCATGTTTTTAGCTTACGGGTCCTCTAGAAGTCATAATTTGTATCTTATTTTCAAAACTGTTCAAATATATCACCTTTACACAATAATTATTTCCGCAAAATCGAACAGAAACTTCCCCGTCAAATAGCCACTCCCCTTTTCGAAAATAGTATAAGAAAATCATGTAATACCCAGGTTGTGGACCATCTAGAGGTCACAATTTTATCCAATTTAGAGGAAACTTAAACACAGTAGCACTAGTTCATGGGTGGGTTCTATTTGTTTGCGCATCTGCCCCTGCCTTATACACAAAATGTTAAATATCAGTGTTTCCATTAGCTTCAAAATTTGTCGGTACGGCATACCGGTAGGGATTAGAAATACCAGTTCATTCGTAATTTTACCGGTCTGATGAAAACAACATTTAATCAATCTTATAAATTTATTGAAATAAACACTCCATTGAAACAAATTGAACACACTTTAAACACAAATATTATTATAAACGTCTGTCTTTAGAACTCTTAAATATTTGTCGGGCCTTTCCAAAATTAAACGGACGAGCTTCAGAATTGTGTGCGTGCATGTTCAGGGTCATTAGGTTATTCATACAGTGCTGCGATAAACGATTACGCAGAGACGTGTGTATTAAATTTTGCAGACTAAAACCCCTCTCTGCTGGTACACTACTGACAGGAACTACCAAGGCTATAACAGCTAATGTTCCAAAGTCTGGAAATAGATCGGAAAAATCCGAAATAATAGTTTGACAGGTGTCTTCAAGCGATTTTGTCCCCAGACCGAATAACACTCGCTTGAAATGGATGAAATCACGGGTTGCGCGCACGATCAATTATTACATCACCGTCATGAATATCTTTACAGAAAAAGTCCAATAATATATGAAGGGAATCCCCGCCAAACACATCAAGGTCGTTGCGGGCGTTAGGGTATTTTGCAGGATTTAAAACAATGTTCAGAGAATTCAATACCTTTAGGGAATCTTCGGGAAAGCGGGTTTTTAGTGACTTCCCTAAATCAAAGATAAAATTACTGTGGACTGTTTCAAATGCAGTTCGCGAACGTTCATCAGCGTATGTCAGTATAACACCGCGATAACCCTCTGTATTTCTCTTGAATTCAGATTCATTCTCTCCCTTTGCGGTTAGAAGTGCCTCTAATGTTTCTATAGTTGAATTGACCATGGGTCGTATCATGGAGAGATTGAGAGTTTCTCTTTGATAAACTGTTACTAATTTTTCCATGCATGGAAGAACATCCGAAAACATGTATGTCGTGGCTATAAAAGCATACGTTTTTAAGATTTTCTGTAAACCAACAGCCACAGCATTTTTGCGGTCAGCGGCCTCTTCTTCGATCTCCATAACCAGAGCGGGCCAATTTAATTTTGTTGATTTAACAGCTCGACTAAGGGACAGTCATCTCACTGTCGATGGTTGTTTTACAGTCGAAAATTCAGTATCTGACAATTCCTTTGACAAATCGCGTAACCGATTATACCGTGTGGCAGAATATTCATAAAGTTTATACACCTCATTTAGTGTTTTCCGGTAGTCCGCAATCTTTTTTGATAAATTGGCTGCATCCTGTGACGCAAGAGCCACGCGGTGAGCAATACAGTGAACGTGTATCAAAAACGGAATGTCAGTTAGCAGTTTAACACCTACACCATTCCGAATTCCTGTCATCACACTAGCTCCGTCACTACCCAAACCAATTACTTTATTTAAAGGAATTCCCCATTCTTTAAAAACTTCCTTTATTTTGTCAACGATACATTCGGCCGTGCCACTATGAACTGAATAATTTCCTAAAAATATTGTCTCGGCTTTCGCTGTGTTATTTAAAATTCGCAAAAATATTATTAGTTTTTTCTCTGTGACTACATTAACGGTTTCATCAACAATAAGACCAACAAATTTACTGCCTTCTATTTTATCTTTCAATTCGTCAACCGTTGTTTGAACCAAGGCCGTTTCCATATCTTCAAAACTATCGGAATGGGTGTAAATGACACCAGTTAACGCAGGGCATCCATTTTGTTTCTGCAATTGTGCTCGTGCTTGTGCCATGTGAGTTTGCATGTTAGATTTTTGGGAACGGATGAATAAGGCCTCCTGGTGACCGGCGCTATTTTTATGATCTTTTAATGCCGATTTCTGAAAATTAGATCCACCCTTAGTAAAGCCATTTTGTTTTCCAGCTGCCTCGC